CAATGCCGGAGACAAGCACCAAAGAAAAAGAACTCACCACACAATATCGAAAGTGTTCAAGAAAAATTTACCACACATCGCCGAAAGTGCCTGAAAACACGCACCAGAGAATTTACCACATAATACTAAAAATGCCCAAGGACATGCCCAGAGAATTCACTACACAATGTCAAAAGTGCACAAAGACAAGCACTAGAAAATTTACTACACAATGCTGAATGTGCCCAAGGACAAGCACCAGAAAGTTTACATACAATGCCAAATATGCCCAAGGACAATACCAGAAGGTTTACAACGCCAAGGACAAACACCAAAGATTTATACACTGAAAAAATGCCCGAGGACAAACACCAGAAGATCCACAATACTGAATTGAGAATTCACCTTATATTGCTGGGAGAGCACAGAGACACACTATATAATGTCAAAAGTTCCTAGAATAAACACACTAAAAAAGCTCAAAGAAACACTAAAGAAAGCACTGAAAATACCTGAAAATTCCAGAGAACATATTAAAAAAAAAGGTTATCTCCGTAGAAACACCAAAGAAATCTCCTAAGAGAAAAGCGAAACATTAATAAGGTGGAAGAAAAAAATAAAAAGACAAGAAAGAGCTAGAGAAAGTCATCGCAAAAAAAAAAAAAATTAAAAACAATGATTATCAAAGATGATCATTGTGCCAAAAAAGAACTTACCTATCTGGGCAGGGTAAGATTGTTCGATCTTATATCGGCAGTCTGATTAATCACATGAACCTTAGTTATGTGATTTCTGCATTTTTTGATTGGCCAAAGTGGCCAGAGATATATAAGTTATATACCTCTGGCCAGAGATACCTAGAAAAATCTATTTTTAATATGCAAATTCAAAATAAAGTTTCATAGCAATATATATCAAACTATAGAATCAAAAGTTAATTTAACTTATTAAATTTTATAAATACAACTCAAATATAATAAAAAAGTTTTGAGAATATGCTCAGAATGATCAAATAGCATACAATATAATCTTATAAAATTTAGAAATAATTTGCTACATGTTGACAAAGAAAAAATTTTGACAATATTAACTATAAGATTACTGAGTCTGTATAGGCTTTTTTATTAGGCCCAAATCTGGCCCAGTATTTTTAGTAGGCTTGGTCCAAGTCTAGCCTAGCCTATTTTAGACCTTATTCACAGTAGTACTCTAAAAGTCAAAATGCTAGCAAATACAGTTATAGCAAAGCAGACTACAGATTTGATTAAAAGGCTAAATAGTATTAGTATAGTAGAACAGATAACCAAGCTATGAATTTGACAAGAAATTCTAAGCAAAGATATTCACAAAATATCTGAACAAACCTATATGAAGAGCCAAAGGCAGGCTACAAAGACAATATTGTACTTAATATAATAAATTAGTACAAGAACTTGGATATAATATTTTTAATAAAAGAAAAGAGTTAGAGTATTTTAGGCTTAGGATTAACAATTGCAAATATGCTAAACATGCTGCAAAAAAGAGAAAAGTAAAAAGTCACAAGCAAAATTGAGCATTTACTACTTCAACCAGTTATTAAAATCTAATAGCAAAAGCTTATTAATATGGTAGCAAATAAAAGCAACAAAAAATTTAAACTATAGTAGCAAAACCCCAAGCTAATACAGTGATATTGAGAATAAAATACTAGAAAACAAGGGTAAGTATAAAGTCAAAGCCCAGTTTGAGACACAAAAAATAAACAAAGAAGCTCTAGTTTCTTGCCTTTCAAGAATTAGTTTAGATAAAGATAGAGCCTTCTTAGATAATATATGAAAATAGCCAAGTAGAGTATGCTCTCATTAGAGCTTTGACATAGCTTGGCAAAATAAAAGTATTGAATATCTACTAGGTAGTTTTATACTCAAGGCAAAAAAAAGGCTGGTTAAAAGTAAATAATATCTATCGAAAAGCTACAAGTCTCTGTGACAGATTGAATCCAATAATAGTTTATCTTGGTCTTTTTGCTAAAAAAGATTAGTAGAGCTTAAAAGCCAAAGATACAAGTTATTAGCAAGTAGTAATAAACTTATCTTGTGAATAAAAGATCTTTTCCAGGCACTTCCAATACTAGACAAGCTATACTAATAAAGCCATATATATATAGGGGTGAGTCAATAGAAATCAAGCAAATTTTTTATAATAAAAATTTTTTATAAC